GCCCAGTTGGTGTATGTTACGTGAATACCACTGGGCCAAAGGAAAGTCCCCTCTATGGTGATGTCATTTCCGCCGATCCAAACACCATCAATTGCTTCAAACTTAGGGTCTGTTATGATAGATAACGATTTACATTATAATGAGAAGAAAAACCTCCGTGTGAACTGTCAGTTGCAATTGTACTTGTCTCTTCGCACGAGTTGTTCTAAGTTGTATTTTAAACATGTTCAATGTAACGGTCAAAAAGTGGTTTTTAAAGGTTTAAGTTGAGTCTTCATAACATCAAGCGGTTAGCCCTCAAAGCCCGCAAAGCTCTTCCAATTTCCCTAAAGTTTCATAAGTATCCATCTGTGCTCCCAGGTTGAAAGAGAGAGATACTGTCAGAGTGAAGTATCTCGGTGGAGAACACAACACACTGACTCCGATCCGCAATGTCTCGAACTCAGATCCCTTGTTAATATCCAGGGCTCTACTAACCAGCCCACCTCCTCTAGCTCTTAAATTGAGAGGCTGAAAATTTTTGACACAAGAGAAGGGTCCGTTCTTTTAATTTTTTTTGTCTCGTGAACTCATGCTGAGTAGGTCGAAGAGGACAAAAAGTATGTCTTTCCATTTACCTGAAATATTGGCAATTTCTTCCGCATTAAGAGCTGTGCCAATAATCATCAGATTTTTTAAATATCCTCTGAGACAGCCCCCGTTGTCCCTCTTCAGTCCGATGTCATATGTCGCATAGGAAGTTTCCGCAAGGAATGTGTCATTCGGTACCTGCTCAGTTCCGATCTTGCTACTGTTTAGAAATAAGTGAACCTCGCTTGTTTGTCGGTCCCAGACCGCTGCGGCATGAAACCATTGGTCAGTCGGTGGAGATCTACAGTATGATGCAATTCGTTTAGTAAGGGACCAGTTTCATAGGCTGGGAGGAGGGGGGGAGGTGTGGTTTAGAGGATTTGGTGGATCACGTGGTTTTCAGAGGGAACAGAGTGGGGATCAGTCGTTTCAAACAGAGTTTAAAAAAGAGACTTTAGGAAATTGACTGCCGATGAGAGGAGATCAGTGATACAACTAAAATCCTCTGACTCCTCTCCACCCCCTCCCCAGGTGACAAAAAAAGGTCGATCCATAACCTACATTGACTTAAGAACTCAATTTATTGGTAAGTTTTATTTCATACTTGAATCATCGTGGTTCAGAATCAGACCACCAAAACATGAAAACAAATAGAGAACTTCACTTTCAGTTCGACAATGTAACCTGGGATTCACCAGGTGCAGAAATGCGAGGGGCGCCTTAATCCAAACTGTTATTAGAGTGAATATTCGTATTTTGTATAAATTGGATTTAGACAGAACCAACTTTTGGAGCCTTTGCCATATTTTAACTTTTAATCACCCCTTTCCTTTCCTCACCCCGCTGCAAGCCATGGTTTCCATCCGGTCCTTTGATTATAACCTCCAAAGCGTAGGTTTTGAGCGCTCCCGTCGGATGCGATGAAAAGGAAGTTAGTTTCATTTTTCCAGTCGGTGTAAATAGGTGACGGATCATTGACAGGCGTTTGAAGTTTCACCCAGCTGGCCATGGTAAAACTAGTCTTGTTAAAGTTAACCGCTGGGGTCGTAGCGTGGGCACCCGCTCCGTTCAAGTACAACGACTTTTCGCCGTTGTCCGACTTTTCATCGTTGTCTGACTTTTCATCGTCGTCGGACTTTTCTTCGTCGTCGGACTTTTCATCGTCGTCATCGTCGTCGTCATCGTCGTCGGACTTTTCATCGTCGTCGTCATCGTCGTCGTCATCGTCGTCGGACTTTTCATCGTCGTCCGTTTTTGTATCGTTGTCCTTCTCGTACCTTGCTCCATTGAAGAGGCTTTGAAAACAAAAAAAATATTTACTGTGACAATTTCAACAACCTATTTGAATACTCTTTTTATATTTAGAAACTAATAACCGAAGTCAAGTTGGCTAGTGGTGGATATTTATTGAGCTGCGAGGCGGGGAGATAAATACCCCCCGCCAGCCACCGACACTGAGGTAAATAGTTGTTTTATTATATACTGAAACAGTGATATAATATAGCAGAGAGAATTGTTTTAAAAGAACTTTATAATTTCTGATACAAAATGATCGGTCATCAAAATCGGTTAGAAATTAGAGCAGTTAATTCCACTTAGTTATGTAATAGTGATGAAATGAGAAGACAGGGGAATGCTTTGCTTTTTTCACGTCTCACCTGACGTCATTGTCAGTTCCATCCAAAAGCCAGCGTGCTATGATGTGATAAGGCTTTTCACCTTGAATTGCATGATACGATTTATGTGAACAATATTGAATTCAACAATATTTAACTTATTAACTCCCAGAAGTGATTAACATGCAATTTCTCCGGGTCATGTAAATACTTATACTTATCAGATAAAAGTTGTTATCTTGAGTTTACACTAAATTGTCTTAACTCATTTACAATGAATTGTGTACCAGCTAGAGGGGAGAAATAAATTCTGTGAGTTAAAGGGTTAAGATGATTATCATTGATTAGGAGAGGGAAGGTGGAACAAGAGTTTTTTTTTTCCCAAAGGTAAAAACAAAATTAAAGAACTATAGGTGAAACCATCTTACGTTTAGATTACGTTTACGATTAGAATCATAACAAAACCCATTAGTTTTATTCTTTATACAGTTTCCTAATTGAAACTGAAATCAGTTTTCATCAAGGTTTCTTTGACACGTTTGATCAACACACACAGCTATCGCTTAGGTCTTAATGGAGAAGTTTTCAATGGAATGCCGAGAGTAATTAGTGAACACTGGTTTTGGTTCAGTTCGTTTCACGTTTGGTCCAGAAAACTTGCACGACCCCTTAAACCAATCAGATTAAAATTTAATACCAATCGACCCATGGTCACACGTGTTTTCCCGCGCTTCAAGCGTTCTTGTCTTTACTTTGAATACCCATTGACTCCCCGTAAAATTTTTCTTTCCTTGATTGGCTGTTGTTATTACCATGGTTTTCGTTTCACAATACTGACACAAAAAGGAAGCAAATTTCCCAAGAAATTGAATTTTTTACCTGCTGCACTCGTGTTGACTTGACCGATTAAATTAGCGACAATCTCATTTTCATACGCACGTATGATTGACACCAGCTCTCCACCAATTGAACTACAGAACTTTTTTGCCTGTCCCCAAGTTTTTCTTTCGTGAAACAACTTGATGCGTTTTGACCCAAACATAAGCCAACCATCCGGTAGGGCTAAGAGATATTTCAAGATATTTTAGTAAGTGAAAATGAGGACTTTCGATAATTCATATATGAGAAATTACCGTCTTTGTTAGTACATTCTTCCAAGGTGCAGCGTGAAGGTTCCTACAATAAACACAATAAAACTGATTCAATTTATTTTGGGTCATGGAACATTCAATCATTGGGTGAGAGATTAAAATGGTTCAAGGTATCAATGATAAAGGATGTGTGATAATGTGTCATTCTGAGTGGCTTGTGTTGCATTTTACCCTTTAACTCCTAAGATCTGATTGTTAATTCTCCCCTCTTGCTGCTACACATTTCCTTCTAAATAAGTTGGGAGAATTATGTGTTCGATAAGGGTAATAACTTCTACCTGGTATATTTGAGTGTTCTCATTACCTGTTAGCGGGATGGTGTTAAAGGGTTTAATTAACTCGGAAAGACACTCCAACACGGCAAGGAATGGAAGCCTGGCATGTTTTAAAGGTAACGAAATATTTCTGAACACTCGTAGTGAAAATATGTAACCTGTCTTACTAACTTCGTAGATAAAACCAGTCAATCTACGAGTGGATGTTCCATGGTTCTTTTTCCATAATGTATGTATTGCCAAACAAAAAGATTGTTGATATTGACATGACTGAAGAACTGGGTTTTCCCTGCTTACCTTCATTTGATAGTACTGACTTCCGATGCTCGGAACCAAATCTTGTGGGTCAGCGGTTTTGCTGGAATTGTTCAGCTCACACGTGACCCACCCATTTAGTTGCTTTCTGATGTTCACAGAGAAACACAGAGGAGAGTCCACACATTGCCAGTGACAAGCTACCGGTTGAAATACCGTGACAGTTTCTATCACGTGATTCTTTAGAGCCATTCCATCTTCTTTGGTGAACTTTGTTCTTTTGCATCCAGCAACGAGAGGTAACCAAAATAAGCTGAGCCACTTCATTCTGAAATTTAAACCCGTATTTTGGATTACCTAGTAAGATTATCTTTGTTTAAAAATTACAGTTCAGACAAAAGAATTCAAATTTGGAGAAGCGTATAAAAAAAACTTGTCTTTTCTCTATATTTATTGGCGTACTGCAAATGATATTGTTTAGGCTGGTAATATAGCACTGGATGATGGTCATGGAAGTTTTTAAAATCTAGAATAAATAACCTGCATAAAATATTTGTTGTTTTTTTCAAGTTACGTGCCTGAGGAATTTCTCTCAAAGAGATAGAACCATGCATGTGCGAACATGCGACCAAGAAAACATCGTAGTTGCAGGAAAATAAACATAACTTGCCATAATTTGTTCGGATTTTGTTTTTAATGTTTTTTTCTTTCTATACGGTAACAAAAAGTCTTGCGCATATAGCTTATTGAAGTGTTCTTACTTTTCTTGTAAAGTAAATCCCAATCAAACACGGCATTGATCAAATTATTCATTGCTAGCTTGACAATGAATCAGAGTTTTTGTGCGCAAGGTATCAAATAGTTAACAGAAACTTCTAACGACATGAGCGCAAGGTTAGTGCAGTAGCATTAAATTTGGCCAGCACAGTTAAGACCCATTTGGTAATACAAAAAGAAATTAAGTCAGATTCAATACCCGACAAATTTCATGAAAATGAGGCGAAAAACAAGATCAGAATGTAAAAGCAGCTACTTACGACCTGAGTGAAATTTCAGAAATAACTGATGATGGCGAAGAGCCAAATTCTGAATGAGATATTTCGTTTGCTTTCACAATCGGGCTCAGTCTTGTATGATGGTTTCATTTCATGAGTTCAGCAGCGTTTTAAACTATTCGAATCCGCTCTCTTACCATTTGTCCGAAGAATGAGAGACTTCTTTAACGAATTACAAATTTGGAAGGTTAACATAAACACTCCTTCACTAACCTTTCCTTTCTCGCCTAGAGTCTATTACATTTTATTTCTGAACTTATGTTTTTAAGCCAGTCCAGAGGTGTTTCATCTGGTAAATAGACGGCGACGTTAACAGATACCAGTGCGACGGGTGAATTCTTGTGACTTTAGTTAACTTAACAATGCGACTTTGTCTAGAGCGATATGGACTTCTGTCTTCCTCAAGACTTTATAGGCGGTCCAATTATTGTTGACCGTAAAGTGAAAATGGTTAGAATAGTTTGGTTTTCGAGCAGATAATACTATTTTTATTTTTCATTCTTAACAAAAGGCACCAATGATGGCACCACACCTCTCTGTTTACGCCTTAATGTTGCTTCTTTTATACCTGAAATCATCTGCTCGTCAATCAATGTGCCCTATGCATTATTTTGGGTCCGACACAATAGGATAGGCATAGCAATCTCTGTTGGCATGCAGAAATAACGCTTAAGAATTTAACAAAGTAGTAGCTTGTGTGCCGTTTTGCGAAACACAAAAGGTAGACATACTGTGATGGCCGCGGGTAAACATTTTTCTTATTTATTATAGTTACTCCTTTCGCAATTTGTAATTCAATTACGCGATGTTATGGTCTAAACCATATTTCTTAAACAAAATTATACTTTTTGCCAACGTGAAAAGCGAGATCTCCTGCACCAGTGAACTCATAGTGTGGTTCTTTTTAAATTCATGTCAAGCATAATAATTTTCAAACGATTGTCTGATGTGATAGATTGCTGGTTAAATTCATCCTCTGGCCTGACAAAATGAATATTTATGATGAGGACGCAACTGCAATCTTTTTGTGTCTAGGCTCTCTCATAAAACAGGTTAAATGTAAACAATTGGGTGAGATAATCCCTTCGAATTGAAAATATTTAATGCATTTCTAGCTCTGAAACTTAAAAATTTTTCTTTCAAAATATCACTCGAATCAATTGCAAACTTAACAACATTACACGTATCCTAGATGGCACAAGATTCTGAACTAAACGTGAGATCATTCTAGTAAGAAATTGTTTCGTGTTACACCTGAAGAGGCGTTGTAATAAGTTACACATTGTTTTTGCCTTATCATATAAAAAATTCAACTTAACTTTCTAACCACAAGCCAAGCTTTATAAACGCGTTTTATGCGATAGAGGTTGTTTAGCAGTTTTGCCATTTTTCGCTAATTTTCGAAGGAGGTTCAAGGTATGTTAAACTGAAAATTTTTTTCATCGATAGACGGCGAAGATCTTGTAATTCTCAGCCTACGCTTAGTTAATTTCTATGAAAGAGTCTATATCTTCTTTGTGGTTATTTCAATTATGTAAATAAGATTATTCCATATGTACAGAGTGCGAATTTCAAATTTTAAATCATGAATAACAAACCTCGGTGAACGACTGAGATTTACTGTCGACGATAGGATAATCATTAGCTGATACACTGAGTTGGGAAAAAATTCAAAATGTGAGTGAAAGCAGAGCGTAACCAAAGTTAATTAGTTAAACTCTAGGCAGCTATCGAGAAAGATAAAACCATGAGGCAAAGCTATGTTTACAAAAACAAAACCTTAGGAACTCACGTTGGGGGGTCAAGTTCAAAGCTGAATATAAAAGAAAAAATTTGCAGAAAAACTAAATTAGCTGACAGTAAATTCAGGCAAAAGATATAAACTCATGCATCAGAGAACAATGTCGTGGACAAAATAATCCGCACGTTATTCGGACTGCATTAAATTTACTTTGAAACTTTATGTGTTTTAAACATACTTTAGTAAATAAATGTCTGACTCGAGGAAGTTGTTAGGCCTTCTTTTAGCCGGGATGCCCAGGAGCTTCTGTTTTAAATTGATGACGATTGCGAAGCCTTGAGAATGTAAATGATTTTCAATTATCATGCAAATAAAACTCAAAATTTGAAAGAGTAAAGTTTGAGAAATAGATAAAGCTGACTGCAACAGAAATTTCTCATTCTAAATGGTCTAAACGATTAGCAAGCACGCTTACTGCGCGCCTGCAATACGTGAGTGTTATTTCATGCTGTTCCGACCTGAGGGGACTGACCAAACCTGCAGTGGTTTTACGAAACCAATAAAGCTATTCGCTTTTAATTAGATTGCCAAATTCGACTGCAAATCATCCAACTACACCTGATAGTGAATTAAAAATCTCTAAAACGTGGATCGACGGAAGGAAAAAAAACCAACGAAGAATTGCAAAAAAGTGGGCCTTTGAGTGCTTGATTCGTTTTATTTAAAGTATCCTTGGGAAAGCTGTTGTTATAAGTACAGTGGTTGTTCACGTTGCCTTAGGAACCAGCTCCTGTGAAACCACAGTCGATATTGTTGATGTTTCACAAGGTGATGCTAATCTGAATAAAAATGTTTTTCTTTTCTTTTAGAGGGAATTGAAAGAAAAATTTTTTTCTAAAATGTGAAAATGCGGTAGAGTGCTTTCTTTTCTTTTTTGGCAAATTTTTTAATGCCAGACTGAGGAAAATAGACACAAAATATCGAGGATTTTAATCGGGTTAGTTAGTCTGCGGTGATGAAATGCAGGTTCAGTTACACCAATCTATATCACCACACTATTTGAGTTTTTTTCCTTAACTGCCCAAAAAGGAAGCTGAAATTCGATAATTTCTCATCAAATCGAAGGAATGAATAAAGATATGCATTAAAAGCTAATAAGAATATGCATAAAACTTTTACCCTTTCTAATTTTTCTCTAAATCCGAGAAAGATTTGTTATGATTTGAAGCGTAAGTTTTGTTTTCAAAGCCTTGAAAACCATAAGAACGAAAATATCCATACCACTTTGTAATGCGCCTGAATGATTTATTAAACATTGTCTAGGGTTCTGAAAAGATTAAGACTCGTTGAGACCCAACTCGCTTTCTGCTGTCAGTTACCAGTCAGAAGCGATTAAACCAAGCAAGGAAATCAACATAGAATTGAAGTCTTAGAAGCTCGGAAAACTACTTTATCATTCAAATGGTAAAATGAACGCGTTAGGAGTAGTATAATCCGTATAAACCACAGACAAGCATCAGTGTTCTGAAGAGATAAACTGCAAACTAAAGGTAATTCAATTACACGCAGAAAGATGATAGAGAGTATTTTATATCCGAGTTTATGGTTTGGTTAATTAAGTCTGTGATAGCTAATCAGCGATAATCTTCATTACAACACTGAATAGTATTATACATCGAATTGTCTTCATCACATCTTTGAGTCCTTCGAATAAATGAATCTTACACTTTCTTTTAAATTTTTTCCTCTATGCCAAACGCCAATACATTCAATTAAGTGAGAAAGTTTTTCGTCGTTAAGCTGGAGTTAACTCTAAAGTGTCTTTAGTGACAGAACTCGCGAGCGGGTCAATCACTAGCGTTGTTGTGATAACGTGATTTCAACTGTGGTACCATTTGATAGGCTAATTCAAGAAACCATTGTTTTAAAATTGTGCGCAGATATGAATTACTGGGTGACAGTATAGCACAGAGAAACATATATTGTATAAAACACACACCATCGTGTTAAGGGATGAGCTCTATTGAAAACCAAATCGTGAGGGATCTAGAGTGTAAAGTAATTAAAGCTTGTAAATACAAAGACCGATATTCAGTACTGTGTCGATTTCTTAAGCCGACTTTGAAGAGCACGATTCATTTGGTGTTTGCCTACGATTGGGTCTTCTCTGTTGGAGTTTCTTACTTACGAGCTCAAGGGAAGCTTATCCTGTAAAAAAGACATGACTGGTACTCCTCAAAGACACGAAAGGAAGCAAAACGCGGCAAGTACAAATCCACAAGAGATTAGTAATGCTACTGCAAAGGAAGACATCGTTTCTCCGGGAGTCATTGAGTTGGTACATCATAATAAACACCACCTTTTGTCCCATTCTGAACTACCAGATTGGCTTCGCGGAAATGAATTTTTATCCCATTTCCATAGACCCCCTATGCCATGTTTTAGATCTTGCTTTAAGAGTATCTTTAAACTTCACAGTGAGACGGGTAATATTTGGACTCATTTGATTGGTTTTATTGCGTTTGTATGCATCACATCGTACATGCTTGTGCGACCCGTCACTGAGGCTTATCCATTTCCTGGAGACTGGCGTGAGAAACTTGTCTTCAGCTGCTTCTTCGTGGGTGCAATCTTGTGTTTGGGAGTGTCGTGGATTTTTCATACTGTTTATTGCCATTCAAAGACCATCTCCAAGATATTTCGCAGGTAAGTTTGCCTGTATTTCTGTAACTTAACATGTTTTTTTATTCCACTGCTGAGCTAAGAATTGGTCCAATCGCTCGGAGGCCTGAATTGGGCTCATTAAGAAATCGTATCTTGATGAGATAGAGATGACATCGTTTTTCTAAGAAAACGATCGTCAAAGGAAATGAGCGAAAAAGAAGCCAGGGCGAAAGAAAATTAGTCACATAGTTGTTAAAGTGTCACTCGGTCAGTCAGCCCATCAATCTCCGTCAGGTAGCAGTAAGTCAGTCAGTCAGTCAGTTAACAAGTCAGTCAATCAGCCTGTAGGTCAAACAAAAATCCCGTTTTCAGTCAATCAGCCAGTCAGTCAGTCAGTTCTTCAGTCCGTTCGTCCGTCAGTCAATCAGTTAGTCAGTATTTTTGGTCAGTCAGTCTTTAAGTCATGTAGCAGGCCAGTCAGCTATTTAGTCGGTCCACAAATAATTTTTTAGTCAGTTACCCACTTCATTTAGTGTTCCATTAAATTCATTTGTTTCTGCGAGTAAGTCTAGGATGATGCACTGAAAAGAAATTCGTGTGATCAAATACTGATGTACTTTGTTCCATTTGCTTCCCAAGGCTTGACTACGCAGGAATAGCAATATTCATTATGGGATCGTTCATACCTCCGTTATATTACGGTTTTTACTGTTCGAGAGTTTTGAAGATTGTATACATGTCAATGATCTGTTCTCTTGGTGTCATCTGCATTATTGTTTCCTTGTGGGACAAATTCAGCGCGCCCCACTACCGACTATTGAGGGCAGGTAAATATGTCGTTCAAAGCTCAATTAATAGAGCAGTTTTCAATTGTATGTCCTTAAACGAAAAAAATCACGGTGACCAATCAAAACAAAGGTTTACGTCATCATTAGCCGATGAGAACTCAAAGTGAAAACAAGCGGGAAAACGCGATTGTTTCAGTTTTGCATCTGATTGGTTAAATAATGGCACTAGTTTTTTTTAGACCAATCACAGAGCAGAGTTGAGTAAAACCAATGCAATCCTGGATTACTTTCGACACTCCATTGAAAATCTATAAAACTCACGCTTCCTTACTTTGCCATGATCTTTCTCTGAAATGAACCCTGCATTGAAAACTTTTAATATTCAATTTTTATGGAAACTTGAACTAAATGTGGGGGATTATTCAGCGTTAATTGATTTCCGGTTGACTTCTTGCGATAAGTGACAGATGATTGAACAATAGGATCATATTGTATATTTAAAATGAGAGAGACCAGAGCGTGGGACAGAGAACGGTGTGAGAGAGAGGGAGGTTAAGTTGATTTTATAAAATAAAACGTGAAGTTTCGGAACATAGCAGATTCTTTAGTCCCATTTCCGACATAAAAAAATAGTATCCTTTTTTCGTTTATATCATTATTTCATACGCATTCGCACTACAACTCCAAATAAAACCAATATTTTATATATCCAAGCGGTTACTTAGGTTACTCCTAGTCTTATTCTTTAATCATATCTATTTACAATAACGAACTCATCTCAAAAAAGGAAGTTCGCCATTTTGTTAATGCGTGTGCTATTCATGCACAGTTGGAAATGCACAGAGTAAACATAATTTCATTACGCATATTATTTTCTTTCCAGGTATAATGCTTTCATTTGGTTACTGTGGATTTATTCCTGTGATACATCTCATATGTTTATATGGAATAACTTTAGCATACCGGCAGGCAGCGGGCGGCTGGGTTGCTCTGATGTGTCTTCTCTACACTGCAAGTGCTGTTATGTATGCCACTCGAATTCCTGAAAGATTTTTTCCCGGCAAGTGTGACATCTGGGTAAGCAATTTGCGGGTCTTATTAATGGTTTTATTAAATATTTCGTAGGCTTTTCATCTTGCGCAAAGTTTAATTTAAGCCACGATGGAACTTCGGTGGTCAAAGATCATCAAGAAATCAAACCTGCATTAGAATAATGTCTAATTCATTTTTATGGTAGAAATTTGAGATAATTCACCGAAATCCTGCCCTTATTTCTCTCTATTTTTTTTCTATCTCTTTACTCATTTTATTCGCTAGCGCTCGAAACGTAGGCTTCTAAAAACGATGGACAATATACATTATCAACTTAGTTGATAAAATCAACTGAATTCACCTTTTAAAACCTCTACCGACGCAGCACCACAATTTCCCTAGAAACTTACCCCTGTTATTTTTTATTCAGTTTCAGAGCCACCAGATCTTCCATTTACTTGTCCTGGCTGCAGCGTTTGTTCATTTGTACGGAATTTGTCAGATGGCACAATACAGATTTGAAAAGGGACCTTCGTGCGAAAGTTGAACTTTGCCAGGATCATTCTTTCCATCCAGGCACACTATGAGAGGAAGAAGAAATGGCGAGAACACGTACTTGTGATAGAATGCCTTGGTATTTTAAGAGGGGGTCTGGGTCATGGTCATAAAAGGTCGCGAGCTAGGTCTCTCTAAACCGTGTTCACGCTTAGTGAGCCCAAATATTTTTTTGCTCAGTTAAAAGTGAATCAATCGGAAAGCGTTTGAGTAAAAGTTCCAGTAACTATCGACTTTAGGTAAGACTCCGCAGAACTCATGATTTGAAGTGATGCGTGTGAAGGAACTGCTTGGAAAGGAGAGTTAAATTTCTGAGTCCTACGATGGAACTGCTTCCTAATGTTTGTGTGAGGAGGACACAAAGGCGATTTTGGATAACGCCACAGTAGAGGCGTTAGCGTTGTGCATTTCGCTCGCGTAAGGGTGCTGAAGACTGACCCTTGCATATATTTTCTCATCTTTCTCCGCAAAATGATTTTACAAATTTCTAACGTTACCTGGATTGAAGCATTGATGTTGCTCTGGCTATTTATAGAGTAGTATTAATTTCCTTCTTGAAGATTTTCCTTAATTTTACGTTGAATTCTTATTATGATGTAATCAAGCGATGCTTTATTTTAGATGATTCTTTGTGGATCCTTCAAAACGTTTTTAGATTTATACTGATTACTGTGCAAGTGAAATGCACACGAAGTATGTCTGTTTGATGATTTTCTTGAATTCTGATTCAATTATAACTTTAGAACTATACTTTTGAGTGTGGAGAAGAATGTCTTTCTTCACATTTATTTTACTTTTTATCCACCTATACGCAAAAACCGGAACAAGAGAATGAAAAGTTAGGTGTAACTCACAGTACATCAAGGACAGTGGAGCCGAGGGGCCCTGCTCTCACTATAGCCGCCTCAATTACGGCCCAATGTCATGCAAAAATATGGCAAATTTTCGGGGAAATCTGCCCCATACCCCCAGGCTGCGTCCAATTTTACATGTACAAGACCTTCTGCAGATGAGAAATCAAAATCTTTTGTCCTGCTGTCGCTGGATGTACAACGTAGTTGCAGAAGTGCAATATGTTAGCTGGATTACATTGGTTTCTACGCCTAAAATCTGTACTTTTTGATACATTTCGTTCGCGACACAACAAAGTTTGGCCTTCTATGAGCTATTTAATTGCTTGTTTTCTTTTGATAAGTTACCGAATAGTAAACGATGTGTACTCAAATGATAAAAAAAAATTATTGTTTTCCTTGTCAGTTTGATCTAATTTTTTTACAAAAAAAGATTCACTGTAAGATGTTTGTGAAGAGATGCAGGATGGAGGCAAGACCCAGAATGTTACGGGCGTGATAAGGTGCGATAGAATTGGAATGATTCTTTGATCTGCAAGTTATGAGTTAGTAACCTTCAATTCTTTACTGCTGTCCTCTGCATCTAAAAACATGATTCAATAAAGGTTCTCCCATGGGCATGCAAAGGCCTCGCGCAAGGTCTCTCCTTTGGCGATCTATTTATTTATTTAAAGATTTAAGCAAAGCTGTACCGGAGCAAAAACCGATAGGACATAAGTCCCCTAAAATAATTTAATATTATAAATAGACTAAATAGGCTGCTTAACAATTGCACGCAACAAGGGTATTTACCCGGCCACATTTAGGACAAATTATTTTAAAGGTACGAAAGTTGTCGCCATCAAAAACGTTGAGTCTCTTGAAATAAAACCACTTAAGTTTACGCTTAAAAGAGTCAATAGACTTAGCCTGTCTAGCATCATTAGGTATATTGTTCCACAAATTTGTTATCCTATTAAAATAGAAGTCCCGAAATGTTGATGTACGATTATTATTAATCTTTAAGTTCAGCCCTGAGCACGCTTGACGCGTCTGATTCGTAACAAAAGAAAAATAGTAATTATATGAACGAGTTAGATCAATATGACCATGAAGACATTTAAAAAAGAAAACTAAGTCGAAGTATTCAAGCGAGTAATTAAGGGGCAATACCTTCAGTTTGATTAAGCGATCCTTATAAGATAAATCACTACTATTTCTTTTTAGTATAAAGCGTGTAGCTCTTCTTTGCATATTTTCAACGAAGAATAAATTGCTGATAACAGACTGAGGTGCCCATAACTGTGCCCATAATCATGCGGCTGTAAGGATTTTTGCTCCGCTCTCTCCAAGCATTCTTTTTCCAGGCATTCCTTTTTCAGCGGGCTGGCCTAGATTCTGATAGTTAGGCCAGTGGGTGTGCTTGTAGTTTGCCGTTAAAAGAGCGAATTTTTGGTAAAAAATGGAAATTTAAAAAGAAATCGGCTTAATGCAAGTAAGTAACCCATACCATGATTACTTGTCAATCTGCTAGTGCTTCTGGGATCGCCAGCTTAATTGCGCGTCAGTCAATATGGCGCCTGATTATGGCACGCATGCTGCGGTGGCTAGAAATTGGTCCTTTCCTTTAATTTATCTTCGAAACTTAATTATTTTTAAGTTACTTTGTGTCAAAAGCAACGAGTGGGATAGTGTGTCTACGAAGTCTTACCAAAAGAGCGTGAAATGTACTCGAGGGGTTACTTTGCACTTCGCTCGCTTGCTAGGACAGATTCAGCTTGTTTTGATGCGTGCAAGACAGCTCATGATCACAGGTAAGACTATTAACATCTTGTTTAGCTACACTTTAAATAACATGCGCAGAAGTAATAACCTGTTGATCAGTAGAGGTCTCTGCCTCTTAATATTATCAACATCATAACAAAAGGTGTAAAAGATCCACGCGCTACTTCTTTTGTGGATGCGCTCGAGTGCCTCAATCTTTTGCATTTAAGGGAAATCCCCATACGATTACAAAGTTCCCTTAGACGCTACTTAAGATGATCGATTTAATTTTAATCCCTAGGAATTCTTGAGTGCAGGTTAACTTTATCCGAAGCAATATTAACCTAATCAATAAATTTAAGGGTCTGACATCTTTTACGGCGACCACCAATCAGTTAAGCTCATGGCATCGCTTTAAATAACTTCTACTTTTCCCATCGTATTTCTCATGTTGGACTGAACTAATTTTACAGTGAATGTTTTGAACCAGGGAATAGCTGTCAATGGCTTAGTGTAATTAGCCAGTTGCCAGGGCAGTAACTGGCTTTGGACAACCCTAGCTTATGAATTTGGAGTCAATTGGCTTTTCCTTCCACTCAAATTTACAAGGGTTTGGTTGCCATTGCCCTCAACAGTGTGTTCCAGAACTGCCCTTATTTTGATGATAACACTTCTAATAATGTACATGGAAAAATTATTTTTGTGTGATTGGCTTAAAACAAGTGCTTTCTCATGTAACACTAGTGCAAAGTTGTAAAACTACAGGCTTGTGCAATTATGCTGTCTTAGAAAAATTTACTCATGCTTATTAACACCAAATTGCACTCAAAATCATGTCATTACCCATACATGCATTTATGCAACTATTCAGAATTGATATTTGAATTTTTTGTCTTCAATCCTCCCCAGCCCTCTCAGTACATTTGAGTCTCTCTAAAACGAGTGTGGTGATGTTTCTATGGATTAAAACATGAAGGGAAAGTTAAGGGTCATGAAAAAAACCACAAAGACATAATTTGATCTAACTTCCATAATCTTACTTTATTAAATAACATGACAGTATGTAAATATCATTTTCCATTTCATGAATTAAAGGAAAAACATGCAACAACATTTTAATTTACCAAGACTGAAAGTTACTTGAAGAAACTAAAAAAAATTGTACTCAACAAGGTACCAATTTCCTTGAAAGAATTGGGAATGGTATGTCTTGAAAAAATTTGCCAGTAGCACCTAAAAAAATCTCAGGTTGATGAAAATCACAGAAGTGAACTTGAGACAACTCAAACATTCAACCCTATTCCCAAATAGAACCTTTGCTCACTGCCCACCGCAACTCCAGCCAAACACTTTACAGCCACCTCCCAACACCATAACAACCACCTTGTTCCCCTTAAACCAGGTTGGGACCCTCACCCTAGCCTGTACCCTTTCCTGCCTTCATCCCAAACCCAAACCCTTTCAATCCCTACCCACCTTAACACATTACCTCCCTCCTCCAGCTCCCCTGATCCCCTTCAGTCATAGTCCCATTGTGAAACCTCCACCCACAGTGGTACCCTTCCCTACCAATACCTTTCTCAGTCCTTAAACTACCACCTCTCCACTGCCCAATTACCCTCCACCCCAAACATTTTAGTTGTCTCAAATCCACTTCAGCATTGACATCAGTCTGTTTTAAAATTTTATGGGAACAACATTCCAAATTTTCTCTTAAATGTCTGACAACCTCTAAATTACATGCAATATCATGTTTTCAAAAGCACAGTTCTTTACTAACATGCTATTTTGGATAACTACATACAGTGTTGCTACAGAAGTCATTTATTAAAGCTTTTCAACAAATCTTAGAATTTAAAAAAAATTTTAAAAGATGTGGATTGAGAAATCTTGACAGTAACTAAGTACTTAAAAAAATTGCAATGAGCCGAGACTTGAATCATTTTCCCCCAAAAAAATTATAATTTGAAATTTGGATTAAAATCAACCCTGGAACACTCAGATTTCTCCTTTAGTAATTAAGCAATTAGTGATGTAAAAGGTTAGCTGTTAAGTTGTCAGCTTTAGAGCATATTTTGGAGAGCTCAGAATGTTCCAAGTTCAAAATATACAAAATTTGAAATGTCATGTTTTAATTTCTAGCAACCTTGATTTAAATTCAAGTCAAAGCTCTTTTTTGGGGACAAAAAAGTTACTTCATATCAAATGTAAGTTTTTTAAGATTTGTTGTTTGTCTAGGTGAAATATGTAATACATTGAACAACATATTGAAGAAAGTTTTAAGGCTACTTTTTACAATGAGTGACTAGCATCTACAACTATTTCTTACAGTATTAATGTTGTATCAAACATTTAGCTCATTAAAATGAAATAAGTGATTCCAACTATGAAAGCTCTTGATTGTTTTTCAAATTCTCCTGGTCAATGCCATTGGAAAAGTCAAGGAAAAAGTAGGGAGAATATGTACACTAATTTTAAGGTGGAATAAATAATTGCACCACAGCCGGACATGTAAACCCCAAAAACCCCACATGGGGAAAAATGGGGACCATGTTCCCCGAACCTATGCTATGGTGATTAAACCTTCGGGGTTTGAAGGTTGCTTAAAATGTTTTCATCACGTAATGTTTTCTTAATTACACAGCCTTTGTTGGCGATGTTCTGTTTTAAATTACTTTTTATTAATATTTAAATATCTCCTTTCTAGCCATTGGTAGTTACATTTGTAGAAGCTGAAAAAAATGAAATAACAGATCATATTAATGTTATGAAGAAGGTAGTACTAGTAGTGCTTAATGTTTGTAACTTATTTTGAATAATTTGGAATGTCAATCTTGCTGACACTCAAAATTTTCACACTTAGTTTTCCTAGGTGAAACCAGATGAATAATTATTTAGGATTCAAGCAGTCTGTATTTTAAACCCTTTAACTCCCACGAGTGATGAAGACAGAATTTCTCTGTACAATATTCATACACCATTCTCTGTACAATGTTCATATACCATTGATGAGAATAAAAAAATATATCAGTCAATTTGGGGATAATTAGTTGATCTGATACTTAATTATCTTAACTAACATTATTAGAAGTGTATGGTTGACAGTAAGGAGAATTACAAATTTGATCTGAGAGTTAAAGGGTAAAAACGTATCAGAGGTTTTTGAGTTTATTTGCTGAACAATTTCTACCTGATAAGATTTAGTATTCTCCTTACCTGTTTGCTGGATAATGTATAGACTAATATTATTGGGAGAAGTTATGTGTTTATCACTTCTTGGAGTTAAATGCTTACCTGGATATGATCTATGAATTCTGTCGGGTTACCTTTAATTCCTCTCAAATTTCCTGGAAACTAATTAAAAGATTTCAAGCTGTTATGCATTCTGTATTCATAAAATATTAGCTTACTTACCTTTTGAAGAGGCTGTGAATGAGCTGTGTATGAGCTGCAAAAATATTAAGCATTTGTACATTTGTTTGTGGTTTGAATTCCTTTTCCTGCTATGAATCCAGCTATCTACCTTAGAAAATAGGCCTAGAGTTCCTAAGGTAAACACTTTGGTGGACTTACCTTGTTTTTATAAGAGATAGACTGAAATAAGAGACTTTAGTACCACTCACCTTTTTTGCTGTTTAAAATAAATGTTTGAGAACATACTGATTAGTAACATATTAGTAAAAAAATATATTTGTTTTTATGAGACTGATGGTGTGATGAATAGTAAACCATCAAACTGCAACTGTACAACCAAAATAGGCTTGGAGCTGCTAATAAAAGTAAATTTTGTTAGTACACTTACCTGGTCCTGAAAAAAAGAATTAATTAAGTTAGCCTGACACTTACCCTACTCCTGAAAAGAGGCAGTTGTTAGTAATTATTATTTTCTAAGAAAGTCACACAGAAACACAGGTTTGTTTTTTAATTTATTTTTTGTTTAGATGAACATCATTCTTAAGACACAGTAAATCTGTTATTTTGGTGACACTCTTTTGTTATATTATGTAACCATCAAACCACAAATGTGCCCCCGAAAATGGGCTCGGAACTGCTAAAATAAAAGGTGTTAGTAAATTTACCCTGAAAAGTAAATATATTAGTAAAGATATTATTTAATTTTTAGCTACTTTTCTAAAGAAAAATCACACACACACAGGTTGCTGCTGTTTATTTTTTTCTGAATTATTACATCAGTCCCTAGTTTAATTATAGTTGATGGTGGGATGCGCTTCCTATATGAAAAATTTAGCATCTGTCGAAACCTCAAGTGTTCTTGTGTCAGTAAATGTTGACATCCCGATTAGAACACTCATGGTGCCCCAGATGGTTTAGAAGGTGGCTAGCTAACAAGTCAAGGTCGTTACCAAGCCTTAATACAAAAAATTGGATGCCATTTGGTGTTGAAATCAAAAGCCGAAGTGATAGCCGAAGTGATAGCCGAAGTGAATTTTAAGCCGAAAGCCGAACTCGGAAAAGAAAATAAAACCCACCCACCTGGTGACATCTCGGAGACCTTGCCCTACCTTTTTATGGGTTGGTTGCTGTACACATCAAGCCTCTGTGATTGGCTATAGGAGTGAAGCGCATTTAATTTCCCAATTTTTTTGGTGGCAGCTTGTAAGCTGACTTGTCAAAATAATTGGCTTATTGTATGAATTGAAAGCAAAAATTTCAACTGGGCCATATCTTAAGACTAACATGATGTTTCCTCTCCACTGTGACTCCTTGTCTGATCCATGATGTTTTGATAAGCGAGTTCAAGATAAATTGGCCTGCAATTTTGACTGACAGCTGTGATGCTGTCAAATTGCAACTGATAATTAGCCTACTTGTTTTTTTCTGTGACCTAAGCTGGTGTGTGCAGTTCCCTATTTCCCACTAAATGAAGCCTCGACAAGCGGCTTCAACTGGATTTAAAACTTTAAACATGATAGAAGTGGCAAATGAGCACACTTCCCAGTTGAATGGTTTAAGTTATCCAGTCATATATATTAACTAAGTCAATGTCTGGTTGAACCTTTGGCCAAAACTGTTTGCTGTAATAATTTTTGGGTTTAATTTGGTCAAAACTGCTTCACTAGATTGCAGTCCATGGAATTGCTGCCATCAGCTGAAACAGTATAAAATTGTTTCTTTAGGCGCAACTAAGCAGGGAGATCCAACGTGAAAGAGTTGATGTCGGTATCCATGGTTGAAGAGCCATTGTAGTCCTGAAGGTTGTGTGCAGTAGATCCAGTCTTGATGTAGAATCATGGTTGAAGTTGCCGTAAGAAAAAACCTTAAGCCGAAACCTAACCTAAGCCGAAAATACCTGAAAAGGAACCCAATTAAAATTAAGGGTTGGAAAAAAGGGAGGCCCAGCCAATCCCAGGGGACCCAACTAACTAAACTAACTACATTAAATTAAGCCGAATGAGAAGTTCACGGACTTCTGTCGGAAATTTGAAATAAGGTTCAACCAGCATACTATGTAGTAGTCCCTCTTGCCCAACCTACAAGGAATTGTCTGACCTGTTGTGTTTGTCTTCCATCAGAGTCTTCTTACTGACTCATTCCCAGATGATTATCAGAGTAAATACATGTAATAAGATGCAGCAGACATTGGAAAGGAGTGAAGAGAAACTTGATTTGTAGTCTCATCTTCCCAAACAGTCCAACTCCCCACATCTTCATGTTTTCCTCATCAGAATCAAGCTGGGAGGAGTCAGCCTTGACTTGTCTTGGGAAGGTGACTGGACTGGAATGGACTGCTGGAACTGGAAGTGGACCATTTTATCAGGATTAAGGCAGGTACTGTAATAAACAGATGTCAATACCAGTGGCTAAAAATGAATATGTGATTATTCAGTTATATTTTGGGATATAATATAAGAATTTTGGGAATTTGAAAAGTTATAAAATTGTTGTGAAGAATTCCTCCAGAAAAACTTTCTTCTTTGTACATATGGAAATTTGATTTGTCTGGAATGAGTGTTCAAAACACTTTGCGGCAAAGGGAATTTTTCCTTTGAGGTTGTTGTAATACTATAGTCATCTACTCACCCAAGTCTGCTTGTTCAGTGTGGTCTTCATGTGGCTGATGTTTGGATGTTGTGAAGATTGATCCCTTTTTTACCTCTGTCTGGCCCATTGACTATCTTCTTCAGCAGCCATTTTCTAGTTCTGACTTAGTTACAGTTGCATAAGTGCACAGTCATGCCTTACAGCATTTAGCATTTAGGTGAATGGGTTTGAATCCCATTGAGACAAAAATATCTCCGATTTATTTCTTTTTTTAAATTTTTTCTCATCAACTGTCTTGGGTTTGAATCCCAATGCAAGTGATACTTTTGGTATCAACCTAGTCCTATACCAACAGCAAAACATGTATCCAAATTGTATTAAGTTGGATGCCATATTGTGAAGCTTTTAACCAGACCTTATTATCTTTTAAATTCTTTTGGTGGTATTGAACCCCAATGAAGCTCAATTTTTGTGCCACTAGGATAATTTTTGAACCATCCTGACAAACATGAAATTAAAAAAAAAAAAAACAAACCACAAAAAGTGATGTGAATTGGGATGGAAGCAGGTGACTCGTATATAAGAAAGAGAGAGCACTTTGCATATAAGAGAGCAGGGATCAGTGACTCATACTCAAACAAGATGGAGATCTGCATGGCTATGCATGCAAATGCATGTATTGTATTATGTCTCAGTCTTTGGCTCATCAAGTGCTTGGAGAGAGAACATGACGGGATTTTAAGAAGGTTTTGGAACAGTTATATGGTCAAGTACTTAGCATGATAGGAAATTTTGTTGTAGTTCTTGTGCTGATATCCTTAATCAGAGAAGTGACCTTTGAAGTTGTTGTGGGCTTTTGTTAGAAGGATCAAGTCCAAGTTGCAAGTGTTTCCTCACTTTGTGAATAAGCAGTGTGGATTAGGATGGAAGCACATGGCCCTTGAATAAAGAAAGAGGGCACACTCTACCAGCAAAAAAATGGGACCCTGTGACAAACTGTTAAGCCAGATGCAGATCAGTGTGGCTATGCATGCAAATTTGTTTTATAGTTGTCTCTTGTGCTCATAGGGTTGAAACATGTCAGCACTTTGAAAGAAGTGCTTGGGATGTACAGCAGGTTTCAGAACCTTTCCTTCAAGATAAATGACAAGGCCATGGACATCCATATTAGAGATATCCATTGAAGCTGTTGAAGGCCTTTGTGATTGTTGCTCAAGTGGAGCTCTTGTCCACATTGAGGAAAAACAGTTTGAAATAACGTATTTTGCAGACTAAGAATGAGTTTAAAACCTCATGCCTCATGGTCAGTGAGAGAGTGTTAAGATATCAGTGTAGAATAGCAATGAAAGGGAACAATTTTACTTGGTTTAATAGCTGTGACTGGCATTAGCTGATTGTTATGAAGAGTTGAACAATCACTTTTTTGTATTGTAACCTTTCATTTGGTTGTTGGGGATAAAAGCTGAAGACAGGATGTTGACAAAGTCTGATGGCTGTGAATTGATTCCCAAAAACTTGCCTGTGTCAGTTTGAGTGGTGGAGAATATACGGATACAGGTCTTGCTTGTTAGCTTCAATCTGTTTTTCTTTTGTTAACCCTTTAAACCCTTAGAGTGACAAGCATCTAATTTCTCCCAACAACATCACTCCTGAATCATACATTATGGTCATGAGAATAAAGGAAATGGTCACTAGGGAAGAAACCTTTTGATTGGCCAACAAATTCTCCTTGTCAGCACCTTAGGAAATGTATAAAGAACAGTGTGGAGAGTATGCATACTGATCTTAGGGTGTAAAGGGTTAATAGCTTAGAATCACTGCATATCCAAGGTACTGGTTAAGCTAAGCTTCAGGCCTGTTTCTTCACTGAACCAAACCACTTGATATTCCAGGTCTTGCTTGTTTGCATCATGCCTTTTTTTTTCCTGATTGAGAGGTGACATTTACTTGTAAACATTCTAGATCTTGTCTCTTAGCTTCAATCCTTTGTTTCTTTCTGAAGAGTGTAAGTGAACCTCAAATTATTCCAAGTCTTGCTTGTTGAATCAGGGTTGTGTTTCTTCTGTTAGAGCTTACATCTTGTAACTGAAGAGTGTAAGTGAACCTCAAATTATTCCTGGTCTTGCCTGTTGAATCAAGGCGGTGTTTCTTTTGCTAGAGCTTACATCTCTTACCTGAACATCTTCTATATCTTTATGAAAGGTGTGGTGGTACCTATACATGTACATGCCATTGGTGCTTGGGTAGGTTTAACTTTTTCCTCTTGGGACTGATGTGTAAATTAATTTGAGTTTCTAGCTCACTGTGCTTTGGTCAGAAGTTATTTAATTATTTCCGCAATAAGCTCTGTCATCACTTGCACCCTTGCTTATGAACAACTAAATGTGTAAAATCAGTGGTATCACAGGAAGAAAGTGATCCACACATATGAGATTATTGGAGAGATCTTAAACCATAGAATTGTATACTATGCAGGCAAAGATTAATAGGGCTGAAGGAAAGACAGAGATGCCAGGGATGGTATCAACATATTTGAAAAGACAGGATAAAGTCTATTACAGTGAGACTTAAGCAGACCTTGGGTCCTAGAAAACCCTGTTAGGGAAATAGTTGCAGTTGGGGACATACAGGTGGAGCTAAAACACAGGAAGGTTTACAGATATATCTTGTAATACTTCAGTCTTGTTCCTTTTTATAAGAGCCAAATGGAGCCACTAGGCTTTCCACTTCTTGTCTCTTACCTAGAAGTCTTGCTGTCCTCTACAGGAGCTGAACCAAAGGCCAAAATATTCCAGTTTGTCCTCTTAGCCCCACATCTTGTTTTCTTCCATAGGAGTTGAAATGAAAGACTTAATATTCCAGTTCTTTCCTCTTAGCTTCAAGTCTTGTAACCTTCTATAGTAGTTGAAATAGGGAACTAAATATCTAGTCCTCGCCTCTTAGCGTGAAGTCTTGTTGTCATCTATAGGAGTTAAACTGAAGGATTAAATATTCCATGTCTTGTCCTTTAGCTTCAAGCCTTTGTTTCTTCATCAAGAGGTTATGTGATGCACTAAATATTCAAATTCTCACCTTTTTGCTTCAAATCTTCTTGTCCTCCATAGGAGTTGAATTGGAGGATTAAATATTCTAGTTCTTGCCTTTTAGCCTCACGTCTTGGTGTCTTCTCAGTATTGGCGCTGAAAATATGAATGACTAAATATTCCAGGTCTTGCCTTTCAACTTCAAGCCTTTATTTCTTCATTAGGAGTTGACGAGTAACACTAAATTTTTGTGATCTTGCCTCCAAGCTTCAAATCTTGTAACCTTCCATGGAAGTTCAAATGAAGGACTAAATGCATCAGTTCTTGTCTTTAAACTTCAAGCCTCTGTTTCTCCATAAAGAGTGAATTCATACTTCTTAGTATTCCAGGTCTTGCCATTTAGCTTCTAGTCTGTTAAGAGCTGATGTGTACATGTACCTCCATATACTTCAATTCTTGCCTTTGTTTCTTTATCAAGGGGGAATGTGTTTCTCTAAACATTCCAGGTCTTGCCTTTCAACTTCAAGCCTTTATTTCTTCCTCAAGTGGTGAAGTGAAGCACTTTATATTCCAGGTCTTACTGCGTGAGGTGATATTTGTCTGACTTCATATTCTTGCAGTTGATCCAGAGAAATTGACTGGTTGTTTTGTTAAGTGCAGTAGGCTAGCATGTTGTGGGAAGTACAGCCTTTGTTGTATTCCGAGCAAACCATTTACTTTGTAACTGTAAAGTGCTTATAAGTAAGATTTAAACTACACAAAGGTTAAGTAACACATTTCCTACTGACAGTGCTCCTATGAACTCAGTACATATGTATATAATTTGGTGTGTTAAAAAAGAAAATGAATGAAATTCTGCGAATGACTCCATTGCTGAATTTGCTCTAGGAGCTTACTACAAAAAAAGAAAACCTTGGAATTTGTCTGGTAAATGAAATTTTTACTCTGACCTTTTACTTAATTCACCCTTTTAGGATGTTGGTATGTTTGAAATTTGCCTGTTTGGTTCCTCTTTTTTTATTTTCTTTGACCAGCTAAAATGGTTACCATTTATTTTACGTTTTTTTTAGTTTTACCTGATTTTTCCACAGCCTTTGCTTGGTGTTAGTGTTGCTAATCTCATTGAAGAGATAACCTGAAAAATGAAGCCTACAAGCAGTTATCATGGTATACACACAGAGCTAACTTACCATCTGCAGGAAGAGCTTGAGTTGGAAAGGGTTCTCTTCTTTGCATCTTTCTTTACCGGTCCATGTGATCACCTACAATATCATCACTCCTGGAATGTGTAAAAAGTTAGTATTGTCATTTCTACTGAAGCTGAAATGTTTGCTCCCGAAAATGAGCTAGTCCCCGAAAATGGACTTAAAATGATTTCTCAAACAGAAAGAGGGGCATTCAACCACCTCACAGTGAATGTGCCCCCGAAAATGGGCTTGTTTAAGCTGCTAAAAGAAAAGTAGTAAGTAGAGAGAAATTTTGCCCCCGAAAATGGGCCCAAAAAGCCTGAAATAAAAGGTGTTAGTAGCACCTAACTTCCTTCTGGAAAAGAAAATCTTGTGTTAGTGATGTTCTGTTAATTGTAATTTGTAGCTAACTTATTTAGGAGAATGACACAAACACAGATTTTTGTGATTTTATTTTTTTGAAAAGATTACATTAATCCTTAGATAAATTATAATAATTGAGGGTGGGATGCGCTTTCCTAAATGAAAAATTTAGCTTCTGCAGAAACCTCAAGTGTTCTTGTGTCAGTAAATGTTGACACCCCGATAAGAACACCCATGGTGCCCCAGATGGTCTAGAAGGGTGGCTAGCTAACGAGTCAAGGTCGTTACCAAGCCATTATAAAATAAATTGGATGCCATTTGGTGTTGAAATCAAAAGCCGGAGTGATAGCCGAAGTGAATTTCGAGCCGAAAGCCGAACTCGGAGAAAAAAAGAAAACCCACCCACCTGGTGACGTCTTGGAGACCTTGCCCTACCTTTATAAGGGTTGGTTGCTGTACACATCAGGCTGGGATGTTGAGTGAAGAGTTGATTTTGCCAAATTTGGTGACAGCTTGTAAGCTGACTTGTCAAATGAATTGGCTTAATGTATGGTTCAAAAGCTGATTTTGATTCAGGGCCATTTCTTGAAACTATATTACGATGTCTCCTTTCCATTGTGACTCCTTTTTCTGCTCCCAGATGTTAATTGATGTATCATATTTTTGACATTCATTGGCCCATAATTTGGACTGACAGCTGCTATGCTGTCAAAATTTAATTGCTGATAATTAGCCTAGTTTATTTTCTTTGTGACCTAAGCTGGTGTGTGCAGTTACTATTTCCCACTAAATGAAGCCTCAACAAGCGGCTTCAACTGGAGTTAAACTGTTAAACATGATAGAAGTAGCAAATGAGCACACTTCCCAGTTGAATGGCTTAACTTCTCCAGTTAAATGACCTAATTAATGTCTGGTTGAACCTTTGGCCAAAATGGTTTGCCGCAGTAATATTTTGGTTAAATTTGGTAAGAATGCTTCACTAGATTGCAGGTCATGGAAGTGCTGCTATCAGGTGAAACATTATAAAATTGTTTTTTTTTAGGCACAACTAAGCAGGGAGCTCCAGCATGGAGGAATTGGTGTTGGTTTCCATTGTTGAAGAGCCATTGTAGTCCTGAAGGATGTGTGCAGTTGATCCAGTCTTGATGTAGAATCAAAGCTGAAGTTCCGAAAGAAAAAACCTTAAGCCGAAACCTAACCAAAGCCGAAAATACCTGAAAAGGAACCCAATTAAAATTAAGGGTTGGAAAAAAGGGAGGCCCACCCAATCCCAGGGGACCCAACTAACTAAACTAACTACATTAAATTAAGCCGAATGAGAAGTTCACAGACTTCTGTCGGAAATTTGAAATAAGGTTCAACCAGCGTACTATGTAGTAGTCCCTCTTGCCCAACCTACAAGGAATTGTCTGACCTGTTGTGTTTGTCTTCCATCAGGGTCTTCTTACTGACTCATTCCCAGATGATCATCAGAGTAAATACATGTAATAAGATGCAGCAGACATTGGAAAGGAGTGAAGAGAAACTTGATTTGTAGTCTCATCTTCCCAAACAGTCCAACTCCCCACATCTTCATGTTTTCCTCATCAGAATCAAACTGGGAGGAGTCAGCCTTGACTTGTGATGTGTTAGTTGGGAAGCAGTTGGAGAAGGAAGGCAACTGGACTGGAGGAACTGGAAGTGGACCATTTCCTGAGGACTAAGTCAGGTATGGTAATTAACAGATGTCAATGCCAGGTGAAAATTGATATATTTTATGACAGAAAACTTTAGTACAGTTGTTTTTTGATTGGAAGAATTTTTTTCAAACTTCAGCAATGGAAGGGAGAGCTGCAGAGACAGTTTCATGATAATTAATTTGACCAACAGGACAAAAAATTTTCACTCAGGAATGTGTTTCCTTTGAGTAAAGGTCATTCTGAAAACTGTAAGAATTTTGGGAATTTGAAAACTTTTAAAATTGTTGTTAAGAATTCCTCAAGAAATACTTTCATTGGTGCACAAATGGAAATTTCACTGGAGTGTTCAAAACACTTTGTTGCATTTACAGAGGCTGTCAATTCACATAAGAGGTTGTTGGAATGCTGTAGTCATCTACCCACCTAAGTCTGCTTGCCCAGTGTGGTTTCCATGTGGCTGACATAATTAGAACCATCCAAACAAAAAGAAAATAAAAAACAACAAAACACAACAAGCAACAGAAAGTGATGTGGATTTGGATGGAAGGATGTGATTGGTAGATAAAGAAAGAGAGAGCACTTTGCCCATAAGATTGTGGGGATCAGTGACTCATACTCTCATACAAGATTCAGGTGACGTGGCTATGCATGCAAATACATGTAGGTATTATATGTCTCTTTGGCTCATATGGATGAAACATGGAAGCAATTTGTAATAAGTGCTTTGAGAGAGAACATTTTGGGATGTAAAGTAGGTTTTGGAACCTTTACCAGGTCAAATGCTGAGAAAGAGAATGATAGGAAACTGTGTTGCAGTTCTTATGCTGAGATCCATAATCATAGAAGTGTCCTTTGAAATTGTTTTAGGCCTTGTTATAAAGATCAAGCCCAAGAAACAAGTAAAATTGTTGTCCACATTGTGGATAAGCATTGTGGATCAGGATGAAAGCACATGACTTGGATTAAAAGAGAGAGCACTCTGCTAGCAAGAGAGTGGGGTTCAGTGACTCACTACTAAACCAGACGCAGATATGCATGGCTATGTTTACAAATTTCTATTACGTGTCTCTTTGGCTCAGAGGGATGAAACATGGCAGCACCTAAAAAGAGGAGTGCTTGGAATGTAAGGTAGGTTTTAAACTTGGTGAAGGCCTTTGTGATGGTTGCTCAAGTTGGTAGTGGAGCTCTTGTCCACTTTGTGGAAAATTAAAACAGCTCAAAATGAAGTATTTTGTTTACTGAGAATGAGTTTAACCTCGTGATCAATTAGAGAGTGTTAATGTGACAGTGTGGAACATCAATGAAAGGGAAAACTTTGCTTGATGTAATACCTGTGATTGGCTTTAGCTGATGATATTCAGTGTTGAACAATCACATTGTTGTATTGTAACCTTTCATTTGGTTGTTGGGGATAAAAGCTGAAGACAGGATGTTGATGAAGTCTGATGGCTGTGTACTGATTCCCAAGAACTTGTTCTTTTTTGTTTTTGTCTTTAAATTCTCTTCTAAAGGCTAAGTGGTGAAGAATATACTTATAAGTGCTTGCTTCTGAGCCTCAGTCTGTTGTTCCTTTGTTAAGAACTCATTTGAAGAACTATAAAAATATCCAAGGTACTGGTTAATGAATCTGTAAACATCTCAAGGCTTGATCTCATACAAAGTCTTTGTTTCTTGATTCAGAGCTTAACTGGATTATCTTATTCCTTTCAAAGGCCTCAGTTGTGTGGAAAATACATGTGCATGCTATTGATGCTTGAGTGGATTTTTTTAATGGGACTGCATGATGTCTGCGAGTGTTGGCTCACTGTACTTAAGTTGGAAGCTCATTTCTCTATTTGCATTAAGCTCTGTCATCAGTTGCTCCCTTGAAAGTAAGCTACACATATAAGAACATAAGAGAGAGCTCTTAAGCGATTGAATTTTATTCTATACTGGCAAATATATAGGAGGCGGAAGTAAAGATGGGAATGCCAGAGATGACATAAACATTAGGACATAAGGATAGAGTTCATCATGGTGAAACTCAAGCAGACCATGTTAGCAGTTACTAAGGGAGATAACCTCAGACTCTGGAAACCTTGTCAGGGAAAGAGTTGCAGGTAGGAACATAGGAGGAGCTACATTGCAGGACGTTCCATAATATTTAAGTGTTGTTCCCTTTTGTAGGAGCCAAATGAAACCACTGGGAACTCCAGGTTTTGCTTCGTAGCTTCAAGTCTTGTCTTCTCTAGGAAGTGAAGTTCAGGTCAACATAATCTAGTTCTTGCTTCTTATCTTTTAAGTCTTGTCTGTCTTTTAAAGGAGTTGAAGAGAAAGACTAAATATTCTAAGCTTTGGCCCTTAACTTCAAATTTCCTCTGCCTTCTAGTGGAGCTGAAGTGAAGGACTAAACATTCCATTGATTGCCTTGTAGCTTCAAGAGTTTTCTTCTTTAGGAGCTGAAAGGAAGGACTAAATATTCCTGTTTTTTTCCTCTTTGCTTCAAGTCTTATTGTCTTTGTTACAAGCTGAAGTAAAGGACTGAATATTCCATTTCTTGTCTGGTAGCTTCAATTCTTGTTGTCTTCAATTGAAAATGAACTAAAGTATGAAATAGTCCAGTTCTTGTCTCTAAGCTTCAATTTTTGATGTCTTCTATAGGAGCTGAAGTGAAGAACTTTGTCTCTTAACTTCAAGTCTTGTTGTCTTCTTTAGGAGCTGAAATGAAGGTCTAAATTTTTCCAGTTCTTGTCTCTTAGCTTCAAGTTTTGTTGTGTTCATTAGGAGGTGAAGTGAAAGACTAAATATTCCAGTTTTTGCCTCTTAGCTTCAAGCATTGTTGTCTTCTTTGGAAGCTCAAATGAGGAACTGAAGATTCCACTTCTTGTCTCTTAGCCTCAAGTTGTGTTTCAATAAGAGCTGAAGGGAAGGACTGCATTTTCCAGTTTTCTCTCAACTTCAAGTATTGTTGTCTCCTATAATGGCTGAAGTAATTTTTCCAGTTCATGCCTTGTAGCTTCAAGTGTTGCTGTCTTCTATAGAAGCTGAAACAAGAGACAAAAGATTCCACTTTGCTACACATACAAGGACATAAGAGAGAGCTCTTAAGCAATGGAATTGAATTCCACACTGGCAAAGATATAGAAAGCTGAACTAAATAAAGAACATGAAGATAGAGTCTATCACGGTGAAACTCTAGCAGACCATAGTTACAGTTATTAAGGGAGATAACCTCAGATTCTTGTTAGGGAGAGAGTTGCAGGTAGGGATATAAGAGGAAGAGCTAGATCCCAGGAAGTTCCATAAATTGCTCTTGTAATACTTTGGTGTCGTTCCCTCAGGTAGGAACCAAATGCAACAACTGGTAGATTGAAGTTTTGCTTCTTAGCTTCAAGTCTTGTCTTTCATCTCAAGGAGCTGAAGGTAGAGACTAAATATTCCAAGCTTCACCTCTTAGCTTCAAATCTGCTCTGTCTTCTATTGGAGCTGAAGCAAAATACTAAACATTCCAATGATTACTTAATAGCTTTAAGAGTTTTCTTCTTTGGGAGCTGATGGGAAGGACCAAATATTCCTGTTCCTCCTCTTTGCTCTAAGTCTTGTTGTCTTTGTTACAAGCTGAAATAAAGGACTAAATATTCCATTTCTTGCCTGGAAGCTTCAGTCTTGTTGTCTTCTTTAAAAAATGAAGTAAAGGAGTAAAGATTCCAATTCTTGCCTCTCTGTTCTAGGAGCTGAAAGAAAGGATTATATATTGCAGGTCTCGCCTTGAATAATTATTCCAGTTCTGGCTTCTTTGCTTTAAGCTTTGTTGTCTTCCATAGGAGCTAAAAGAAAAGACTAAAGATTCCAGTTCTTGCCGTGTAACCGCAAGTCTTGGTTGTCTTCAATAGGATATGTTGTAAAGAACTCAATATTCTGGTTCTTGTCTCTCGACTTCAAATATTATTGTATTCTCTAGGAGCTGAAGTAAAGGACTAAATATTCCAGTTCTTGTCTCTTAGCTTCAATTTTTGATGTCTTCTATACAAGCTGAAGATTCCAGTTCTTGTCTTTTAGCCTCGATCTTATTTGTCTTCTACAGGGCTGAAGTGAAGGACTTAATATTCCAATTGTTGCCTCTTAGCTTCAATTTTGTTTTTTTCTATAGGAGCTGAAGTAAAGGACAAAATATTTCAATATCTGCCTCTTAGCTTCAGTTTTTGTTGTCTTCTAAAGAAGCTGAAATAAATTAAAGGACTAAATGAAATAAGGGACTGAAGATTCCTCTTCTTAAGTATCTCTCAGCCTCAGGTTTTGTTTATCTTCTCTAGGACTGAAGTGAAGGACCTAATATTCAAGTTTTAGCTTCTTAGCTTCAATTTTTGTTGTCTTCTATAGGAGCTGAAGTAAAGGACTAAATATTCCAGTTTCTGCCTCTTAGTTTCAAGCATTGTTGTCTTCTATAGAAGTGGAAATAAGGGACTGAAGATTCCACTTCTTAATTGTCTCTCAGCCTCAAGTTTGTTTTTGTCTTCTCTAGGGCTGAAGTGAAGGACTTAATATTCCAGTTTCTGCCTCTTAGCTTCAATTTTTGTTGTCTTCTTTAGGAGCTGAAGTAAAGGACTAAATATTCCAGTTTGTACCTCTTAGCTTCAAGCATTGTTGTCTTCTTCCTCTTGGAGCTGAAATGACTTCCACTTCTTGTCTCTTAGCCTCAAGTTTGGTTTGTCTTCTCTAGGGCTGAAGTGAAGGACTTGATATTCCAGTTTCTGTGTGGTGATACATGACTGACTTCACTTGCTTGCATTTGATCCAGATAACTGACTTGGTGTTTTTGTAGGTGCAGTAGCTGGCTTGATGTAGGTAGTGAACAGCTGTTCTGTTGTATCCAAGTTAACGATTTTCTTTCCAGCTGGAAGTGCCTAGTAGGATTTAAACTACACAAGGGTTAAGTAACAGATTTCCTACAGCAGCATTCCAAATGCACTTGACCTTTTTGCAAAGGATGGGCCCTATTATATAATTTGTTTTGTCCAAAAGATAAATGATGGAGTCTCTGTTGATGATTCAGTCACTGAATTTGCTTTAGTGGCTTTATGCCCCCAAAAAAGCTTGAAATTTGGCTTTATTGTAGATAGAATTTATACTTCAGCAATGTGTTCTGAAAAACTTGCTTTTTGTTCTATGTCAATTCACTTTTTACTCAATTCACCCCTATAGGGGGTGGAACGGTTTAAAATCTGAAATTTCTGTGAGCAGGTAAAATTGTTACAATTTTTATAAATTTATACTTTTGATGTGTTTTACCTTATTTTTTCACAGCCTTGTCGGTGTTGATGATCTCACTGAAGAGATGACCTGAAAAGCCAAGTATGTACGTTGTTATGTTTACACACAAAGCGAACTTACCAGATGAGCTTGAGATGAAAAGGGTTCTCTTCTTTGCATCTTTCTTTACTGGTCCATGTGATCATGAGCTACATCATCTTTCCTGGAATATGTAAAGGTTAATATTTTCATTTTTACGAAAGTTGAAATGTTTGCTCCCGAAAATAAGCTAGTCCCCGAAAATGGACTTGTCCCCGAAAATGGACTTGTCCCCGAAAATGGACTTGTCCCCGAAAATGGACTTGTCCCCGAAATTGGACTTGTCCCCTAAAATGGACTTGAAATGGTTTCTTAAAGGAAGGAAGGCGCCTTCAACCACCTCACAGCGAATGTGCCCCCGAAATTGGGCTTGTTTCAGTTTCTGAAATAAGAGTTGTATGTAGTCCTGAAATGTAGATATTTATTTAGTATAGTATTTTTGCTTAATGTTTAACTGAACATTGAGAAAATGACACAGACACACAGAAGTTTGTGGTTTTATTGTTTTCGAAAGATGTAATTGACATGCTTAGTGCTTGTAGGTGTAATCAGTGTTATTAGTCTTAATGCAACTTTGCCCCCGAAAATGGGCCTAAAAAATCCTGAAATAAATGATGTTAGTAGCACCTACCTTCCTTCTGAAAAAAATCTGGGGTTAATAATGTTATGTTAATAAAATTTGAAGCGTATTTGACATTTAGGAAAATAACACAAACACACAGAATTTTGCGATTTTATTATTTTTCTTCATAATATTACATGAATCCTTAGTTAATGATAAGGGTGGGATGCGCTTTCCTAAATGAAAAATTTAGCATCTGTAGAAACCTCAAGTGTTTCTGTGTCAGTAAATGTTGACACCCCGATTAGAACACTCATGGTGCCCCAGATGATGTGAGAGGGTGGCTAGCTAACGAGTCAAGGTCGTTACCAAGCCTTTATACAATAAATTGGATGCCACTTGGTGTTGAAATCGAAAGCCGGATTAATAGCTGAAGTGAATTTCAAGCCGAAAGCCGAACTCGGAAGAGAAAATAAAACCCACCCACCTGGTGACGTCTCGGAGACCTTGCCCTACCTTTATAAGGGTTGGTTGCTGTACACATCAGGCTGGGATGTTGAGTGAAGAGTTGATTTTGCAAAATTTGGTGACAGCCTGTAAGCTGACTTGTCAAAAGAATTGGCCTAATGTATGTTTTAAAAGCAAGTATTGATTCTGGGCCATTTCTTGAAACTCTCTCTTCTCTTCCTTGTGTTTCCTTGTTTGCTCCATGATGTTAATTGATGTATCATATTTTTGACATTCATTGGCCCGTAATTTGGAGTGACAGCTGTTATGCTGTCAAAATACAGCTGATAATTAGCCTAGTTTATTTTCTTTGTGACCCTAAGCTGATGTGTGCAGTTACTATTTCCCACTAAATGAAGCCTCAACAAGCGGCTTCAACTGGAGTTAAACCATTAAACATGATAGAAGTAGCAAATGAGCACACTTCCCAGTTGAATGGCTTAACTTCTCCAGTTAAATGACCTAATTAATATCTGGTTGAACCTTTGGCCAAAATGGTTTGCCGCAGTAATATTTTGGTTAAATTTGGTAGGAAATGCTTCACTAGATTGCAGTTCATGGAAGTGCTGCTATCAGGTGAAACATTATAAAATTAGTTTTTTTTAGGCGCGACTAAGCAGGGATATCCAGCGCGGAAGAGTCGATGTCGGTGTCCATCGTTAAAGAGCCATTGTAGTCCTGAATGATGTGTGCAGTTGATCCAGTTTTGACGTAGAATCAAGGCCGAAGTTGCCGTAAGAAAAAACCTTAAGCCGAAACCTAACCTAAGCCGAAAATACCTGAAAAGGAACCCAATTAAAATTAAGGGTTGGAAAAAAGGGAGGCCCAGCCAATCCCAGGGGACCCAACTAACTACACTAACTACGTTAAATTAAGCCGAATGAGAAGTTCACAGACTTCTGTCGGAAATTTAAAATAAGGTTCAACCAGCGTACTATGTAGTAGTCCCTCTTGCCCAACCTACAAGGAATTGTCTGACCTGTTGTGTTTGTCTTCCATCAGAGTCTTCTTACTGACTCATTCCCAGATGATCATCAGAGTAAATACATGTAATAAGATGCAGCAGACATTGGAAAGGAGTGAAGAGAAACTTGACATGTAGTCTCATCTTCCCAAACAGTCCAACTCCCCACATCTTCATGTTTTACTCATCAGAATCAAACTGGGAGAAGTCAGCCTTGACTTGTGAAGTGTAAGTTGGGAAGCAGTTGAAGTAGAAAGGTGAGTGGACAAGATTGCCGGTACTGAAAGTTCCACCAAACCCACAGGGAATTTTCTGTCCTGTTGTGACCTGTATCGTGTCTTTAAGACCGAAGCTCAACCACCAGAGTTGGTGAATAGACTGGACTGTTGGAAGTGGATGTAGATCTGAAGTGGGTGCGGATCTGAACTGGAGGTAGTGGACTGGATTATCAGCCAAAAGCCAGGTAAGGCTGGTCAGAGATTTTTCTAAAATTGCAAATTTTATAGTATTGTTTGTATATTATTTCCGTTTAACTCTCACGGTGTGAAAAGTAATTTCTCTGTTTAACCTGTACCCTTTTACTTGTAAGATAGAAGGGAGAATTGTTTGTGTTTACCTTCGTTTTGATAGATAGTGTTGTTGAATTGTGAGGAGAAGCATCGTCTTCGTGTGAAAAATTTTTTTTTCCTCAAAAAGGTTTTATTTTGCTAAACCCTTTGGCCTCAAGAGTGACCAACATCTAATTTCTCCTTACAATATCAATAAGCATAAAAGAAAAACTAGTATCCAGGCTGTTTAAGTTGAGGGAATAGCGAGGATAATCTGTGAAGTTACCTTTTTCTCTCACGTACTTGTTATTGATATCATGAAAATGAGGTTCTGGGATCATTTACAACCCATCAAATTACACTTGAAGTGTTGGATAATGAACGTTTACTTCTGCTTAAAAATGTAAAAGGAAAAAAATGTAGATGTGATCACATTTGGTGACTTATCGTACATCATGAATTTTATAGAATGTGATGGTTTTTTTTCCAGAACAGAGATAAAGGCTGAGAAGGCCAAATTTGTATTTCTTTAGAGATTTCGCGAAAAGTTAAAAAGGAAAAATTCCGCGGTCTTTTAAAGGGCTCCTCGGTAGGTGTGAAAACAAAATCAAACAAAATAAAACAAAAATATTGATCTAGCTAGTTTCTTTCTTTTACATTTCTCTTAAATTCTTTTTGGTTGAAAAATTCAGTGAAAAACAACATTATCATGTATTTTTTCACCTATTATCGCTAAGCTCACTGCTTGTGGTCCAGCGGAAATGTTTTTAGAACTTTGCGGGTGGAGCTAAAAATTGTTGTGTTATTTTTTTCCTACGAAAATAATGTTCTTTGATAGTTATTGATAGACACTGGAAATCACGGTTGACATATTGAAATAAGCTTTAACCAAAGTGTGAATTTACTATTAATACTAAGCCGAGTGCAGTCAATTCGAATGAAATTTTACGAGTGGTCGTTTGTCGGATTGCGGAAATTTTTTTAAGAACTTTACACTTGATGAGGGAGAGTTAGTAATTTATTTTTTACAAAACTTGGGCTGTTACTCGACGAATAATTATCAGATCTCTTCGTTAATGCAGGACAAAACAAATATGCTCAGGCCAGTGTTGTTGTTGCATGACGTTTTGATACAATACATTCAATTTCAAAGCGGAAAGTCAGGTGTAGACTTGCTTAGGGTTAGTTCTCTTTATTAATTTGTTTGAGGTATAAATGAAATTATATTCAAACAGTCGTCGCTGAAAAAAAGTTCACTTTCTGAAGTCAGATTAATTAGCGAAGTATTGTAAATGATTATTTCCCATTCACAATCGGAACACGAGTTCTGTAAGTCATTCATTCCTTTACGCGCCAAACGCGCCGCTTTCGCGGGCCATGTTTGTCCAGACTTTTCAACTTCAACCAAGTTTTTCGAATTTTTCCACGGGAGAAACTTTTATCCCGAATAAAACCTACCTTTAATTCAAATTTCATGTATACTAAACAAGGAAATGTTTTAACACTCACCTAATTACGTTGTTTTCTCTGCACTTTGTTCTTGTTTGGTAACAACATCTCGACAGGCGCTAGGAAACCGAGCAATTAATGTTTTTCCCCATGAACCTGGAAGAAAAAAAAGTATTTTACACAAAGTTAATAAAGAAAGTTGTTTGCTGCATACTTCAAGACAAACAAACACTTACGAACGTAATATTTAAATTTTACGGTTTGAAAGTACTCGGGACTTTCTCTACACCGCACGCGAACAATAATGTTGCCTCAGCGTTTGAAAAGTGGAATGAAAATGCTTAAACACAAACCTGTGATTCTGTTTTTTCTGTCGCTTCTTTTAAACTTCCTGCTTAGGTTCCTGATAGTTTAGTTCAGGCAGCAAAAGTGCGAGTAAGTGAGAGATTTAAGTGCAGTAGAATATTGTGCCTTGAATTGATTTTCAGGGAGTGAAGTTTTTGAACTACGCGCTTTGTTTTCTCCCTAGATCATGTGATCTACTTTTCATCGCTGATTGGCCTATTTTGTCACTTCGAAGCACGTGGTTTGATTCCAATTTCTGATTGGCCACAAATCTGACGTTGATGAGGGTTGCTTAAAGTTATGAGTAGGGCATCGAACGCTTCCTCTGAGAAACATCAAGGCCAGTTTTTTAACTCTGTTTTTTTTTTGAAAGGGAACAAGGGTAACCAGCACTTCCTTTAGCGGCATCATGGTTAATGGTTTATTTAAAAAATTATATGTGGAGACTTTTATCTGGCCAGCACATTATAATTGTCGGAAAACTGTATGGATACCCTTCAATTTTTTTTCCGTAAAATGTCTCACTGGGGTTTTTGACATAAAGTGATGAGGAGGGAGGGGTGAGCTTGGTATTCATTTTCGTTCCTGAACCCTCGCGGACCTTTCGCGCGCGCACATCGCTCGCTGGTTCATACGCTTTGCCGCTCATATCGCCGCGTTAGTGAGAGCCGGCTTGCAAGCTACGCGCGTGTGCTTTATGGCTCGAAGTAATATGGTGCAAAAACTTGTGCATATACAAATTCTCAGCGAAAAAAAGTCAAGATTGGCGGAAGATAATGGAATTACTTTGTTTTTTTTTTCCATTAGTCTGAGATAAAAGCAGCGAGTTACTTAAAGAATTTGCAAACGCAGAGTTCGAAAGGTATAATTAAAGGTCAAAATAATGGTAAGAATTTATCGCAAAGGAAAATGAAACGCTGTGTAAATGTAATCTGTTATCAATGGCTGAGACAGCGAGATAATTATCTATTAAAAATAACACCAATCTCTCTTTAATGTTAGTAAATGCGACCATCACTGGTTTGTTTTATCTGTAGGCTGTAAAAGTGAGAGGCCGTTGTCATTATTTTGTGAACGGAAAATTTTCGGAATATATGTGTCTTATGTAATCATCAACTGCCGTCAGAATGACAAAAAAGCACTGAGTGGTTTGAGTTATTAGCTCGTAGAAGTCTCTTAATACTCCGCGTTTTAGGTAAGACTTCACCGCAAGAAATTTAATAAAAGAGATAAAACAATTTATAAAACCAATGGGAGCTTTCTCATTAATCGAATCTTGTGAAAGTTCTGACGAAAGTCATCCTTGATAAATAATTTATCAGTTTTCAATTTTGTTGTTGGTCGTGAGGTATATCTATACAAATTAACTTTTTAGGATGTAATTTGTAGAAATTTCATCTTCTGACTTTTTTGTGGACAATTGTACGAGATAGGTAGATTTTTGCGCGTTTTTTTCCCCAAATCAAATTTCTGTTGTTCTTTAAGGAAGTAAACGCGGGCGGAAAATTTGAGAGGGGTGCAAAAGCAGCGGAAATCTGAAGCAACTAATAGTGCTACATGTAAGTAAAAGCGTCTCAATGTTTATAATATTCATTCAGGCACTGTATGTGAGAGTATGACTCTCACAGCTCATAAAGATATTCAACGTACATTTTAAAATTATTTGAATGCGATGTGTTTAAGACTTAAGTTAATATTTACAGATATATTTCAAGACTCAGTTTCGTGGTGAGAAAATGTGGCGTTTAGAGAAGTGCGGTAGTCTCAGTACTCAGCATGTCCATCGCTATATGTATGTTTTTGTTTGTACAGATGTGTGTGTATTTTTCATTTAGTTGAACGGAGAAATAAGCCTTTAATCTTCTTACTGCATTTGCGCTTTTCCTTATTTCGAAAGGAAACGGAATGGTTTAGAATTTCAGCATCACCTCGGATTTTAAATAATCTTTATATCAGAATATAAGGTTTATGAATAAGATTGTTTTTAACTTCCTCTGTTTACTTCGTGTTTACGTGGCCTTCCTTTTCAGTGCATTTTTGCTAGATTGAGCTTAGCAGTATCGAATACTATGTATTACATATAAGGGAGCTGAGATTTTTTTTTTATTTTAAAAATAGATTTCCACTTTCTTTTATTTACCTTACACAGTGTTATCTCCCCGCCAAGCAACTCCTTCAGTTCTTAATTATTAAACACCGCAGAGAAAGTGGAAAGCATAATTTCTTTTCAAAACAGCAGGAGTCACGAATGGCACCTTGTGTTGAATGGATTTTAATTTCAATCGTAAGAAGCTCAATAAGACATCATTATTTTTCTATCTATAGTGATAGCATCGGCTTTGAAGACCGACAACAAAGGGAAATGAGGCTTACCTACCATTATTGTCGGTTTTAAAGCTGTGTTCCCGTCTTTAATTTAGTATTATAAGAGTGTATAATTTAGTATACAAGTCTTATAAGAGAGGAAGAAGCATTACCCAACGTGTAATATGTAATTTCTGGTATTAATATCACAATTTACCTAACCTACGGCCCCATACCGTCAAAACGCAATATCATTAAACGCTATCATTAGCACACGCCTCGATTTTGATGGCCTTTAATTAATTACATGACCTGAAAAAGAGATCATAAAGTTAACTAAAACTATAAGAAACGAATCGCAGTTAGTGCGGGCAGTTTATATTTAAATTTTGGGGGTGAAATATAAAACGCAACGTAATCCTCGACCAGTAAGAGAGCAAAAATCTCTGTTATTATCTGAACAATTATTCTCTATCATTAATAGTCGAAAAACCATTAACTTTTTTTACTTTCACAGGATGTTGGAGAAAATGATGACAGCTGTAGCATTATTGGTGGTGCTGGTGACCATGTTTGCAACGTTTTCACGAGCTGAGGAAAAATGTGCTGGAGGCCACATTAATCAAAATCTATGCCAGAAGACTTGCAACTTCAACAAGTGCACATGCGACATGGTGGACACAACCTCTTTCTCAAGCTGCTCTCAAAAGTGTCATATTCTCTCTTCGTGTCCTGCGATGGATTGTTCTGGTAACCAAACTTTATTTTCCTAAGCCAAGTGAAATCTCCTAACAATATCAGTTCATTCATAAGCAGAAAGGCGACAAGAAGGAAATAAAATAATCAATCCGGGAATATCGTTTGATTCAACACCAAATTCTCAGTACCAAAGCAACTAGAAATGTTCATTAGACAGTGCGAAGAATTAAGATGTAGATCTTTAAAGCAAGAGGGTTCACCCTTTGGTACTGACAGGCAGACTTTGTTTAACAGTCAAGATCCGCTTTCGGTGCTGATCATTTCCTTGATTCTTGTGACCTTCATGTGTGGTTCAGGTGTGTTATTGTGAGGAGAAACTATATGTTAGTCACTCTTGGGGTTCAAGGGGTTAAAACTTAAAGCGTTGTGTTTTATTTTTTCATTTAGGGAGAAACGCTTGTGCGCAGAAGTGTTTTTTCGGTGAGTGTAACATGAATTGTGGATCAAGTAAATTCTGTTCACAGTTATGCGTATGGAAAGCCAGGTGTAAACAGATCACGTGCTCGTCACCCGCGTGTAACCAGGTCTGTGCAAACTGTACGATGGAGTGCACCAGGGGGGTGGACAAGTGTGATCAGATGTGCCTGGGAGGAGTCTGTAAGATGAAGTGTTTTGCTACGCAGTGTAGAAGACAATGCTTTAAAGGAATTTGTGATTACATCGGCGAATCTCAGAGTAAGGCGTCAATAGTTCAATACAGAGCGTTACTGTTCCTGATTACAGTTGTTGGCCCATTAAGGATATAACGAGAGATCTCGTGGGACAATACTAGCGGAGGACGATACCGTCTATAGTTGATAGCCAATAAAACAATTGCCAATGAATGGGCGTTGTCACATCTGGCCACATATTTTATAGAAATAGTCCATTTAGTGGTGCATCCAGGAGAAAGGCATTCCTTGGAAGACATGTTAACCTGTAGAATCAGAGCGGAATATCTTTATCAACCCCTTAATCCCTGCGAGTGACTGGCATCTAATTTCTCATTTCAGTACCACCCATGAATCCAACAGTAAGGTCATGAGAATAAAGGAAATGATAATCAACCGAAGAACCTCTTGATTGTTAAACCAATTCTCCTCACCAGCACGTTAGGAAATGTATAGAGAACAGTATGGAGAATATGTTTAATGTTTAAATATGGGATGATCAGTTTTGTAGGGAGAAATTATGTGCTGGTCACTCTTAGGGATCAAAGGGTTAAGAAAGTCTTTAAAAGGACTTTTTGAGATTGTTCACTTGTTAGAGGTTTCCAAGTTGTGTTGAAAACACTGGACAGGTGCACTCGACCCTTGCAACTTCGTGGCTTTACATCTGCGTGCTTCCTTCCTTGTTGTGCATGGAAAAAGTATTGCTATGTATAAGTTAATCTATAAGAGAAGTTAATCTCCTTCGTACCTGTTGTTTTGTTTCGCGACTAAATAATAATAGCAAGTGGTACAGATTTCCTAACAATTGTTTGCCTTTGTGAT